GAGGTGTCAGGGCGGAAGCCGCAGCCATTCCCCAGCGTTAGCAAGATAATCGCCGACATGCTCTTCAACCTTCTGCTGCAGGCGCTCTTCCTCATTCAGGTGAGCCTGGCCTTCCGGGCGGGCGCAGGGCAGCTTAGAGGTGTCGCTAGATGGAGCCTCATAAGGGCAGTGTGCATTGCATTGTGCTGGGGTATGTATTCTTTGTGGGAGATTTTGAATTTTATTTTTAGTTTTTAATTTTTTGGTGTTGGGAATTGAACTCAGGAACTTGTGCTTGTGGTAATGAATTTTAAATTTTTTTTTCATAGAAAAATGTAGAATTTCTATATAAAATTTAAGCTGGGTGTGATGGCACATGCCTGTAATCCCAGCACCCAGGAGGCTGAGGCAGGAGGATTTCAGTTCAAGGCCAGTCTGGGCTACATTAGTAAGTTCAAGGCCAGCATAAACTACATAGTTAAGATCGTGCCTCAAAAAACTAAAATATAAAATTATAGGAAACATGAATTTATTCACTCTTTTCCTCTGCTGCTACAGGAATTCTCCATTCTCCTGCTTAGAAATTTAAGTAGCTGGGAGGCTGTCTCAGCAGCACTGATGATTGGCCATTGGTGGGTTAATAGTTAGGGGGTCTCTGTACCTTTGGAATTGCGATTTTTTGTATTTGTTCTTCAGGGAATGTTTGTGAGTCTCTTTCCCATCCACCTTGTTGGTCAGCTCGTCAGTCTGCTGCATATGTCCCTTCTCTACTCGCTGTACTGCTTCGAGTATCGTTGGTTCAATAAAGGTAGGTCCGTCTGAAGAAATGCAGTGTAGCGTGATGGTGCATGTACTCCCAGCACTGGGAGGCTGAGGCAAGGGATTGTTGTGAGTTTGAGACCAGCCTTGCCTACAAAATGAGCTCAAGGCCGCCCTGAACTGCGTCGGGAGACCCTGTTTCTAAAAGACAGAAACAAAAACAAAAAAACAAGGAACCCAGGGCACAGAAGCCCAGTTTGGAAATGCTACTCCTCGGCAAAATCAAATTTGAAGTCCTTCGCAGGTCATCTTGGAAGAGTGAGCCTCACTGGTCCTTCCAAATGTGAGAGAGCACCTACATTTGGCTTTGTGGGTTTGACCCCGAACTTTGAAACAAGAGGAAGTAGGAATGTAAAATTAGCATTCTTGTGGTCAATGTTATGCAGATACAACTGAGCTGAATTACTCAGCATGAATTATTCTGAATTAGAGAAATTAAACAAAAGCCAGCACATTTATTTTGGGGCTTTTAAAAAAGACATATGTATGGCCAGCAAGATAGCTCAGCAGACTTTAAGTGCCTGCTTTGGCAAGCACAGGGACCAGGGTTCAATCCCCTGTCCCGTAGGCTGTGCTGGCTCCGCCCCTGGGGCACACTGAGCTGATAGTGGGTCTGGATGTGGTGGTGCACCCCTGTAAATCTAGCACTGGGAGGATGAAAACAGGAGTTTGAGCTGCATAGTGAGACCCTGTACCAAATACATAAAGGAAAAATAAAGTCATGGTTATATGGGTGAGAAGGGTTAACTGGCTCCTACGGGATGGCCTCCTTTTGACTTGGTGTCTTGTTTTGTGCTAGACTAGTCCTGTAGAGGATGCTGTCTCACTTACTTTTCTCTTATTGCTGGGACAGAATGTGGAGAGGAAAGGTTTATTTAGCTCACAGGTTGTGGAGGTTTTAGTCCATACTCAGCTGGCTCCAGACAAAGTAGTACATGGCAGAGGGCAGCAGTTCAGGGCTGAAGAAAACAGCAAAATAGCAAGAACAAACAGGGAGGAGCAGGGACGGATGGAGAACAAGCCTCTCTCCCTCCCTTGTGTTGCATTCAGGCCACCTGCCCAGGGCAGGTGTAGCACTCACACCCTTAACCCCAGCATTGGATCATGAATTCAACATAAACTATAAGTGTGCCCCATAACTGCGTGAGGCTTTGGGGGTACATTGAAACACAAACCCTAACAGATGCTGATGTGGGTGTTGTGAAATTCATAATTTACTTAGCCTGTTTTTACTTATTTTTTGTATTTTAGTTAAGGGTCTTACTGGGTGTTCAGGGTCTCACTACTAGATCAGACACAGTGATCCGCCTGCTTACAGCCTCCCAAGAGCTGGGATTACAGGCGTGTACAACCATGCCTAGTCTCTGGCCTGTTTGTTTTTAAATTGTGATTATTTGAATTGCAAACTTTGCATAAAAGCTTTTTTAAAAATGTTGTTTGAGGTTGAACCCAGGGCCTTTATTCTGAGCCGTACCCACAGTACTCTTTTTTACATTTTATTTTGAGACAGGGTCACACCAGGTCCCTAGGTTGCTCAGGCTAGGCTCTAAGTTGGGATCCTCTTGCCTCAGCCTCCCAGAATACTGAGATTATAGGCACGTGCTATCACGCCTGGCTTGCATAGAAGCATGTCAGACTTGCACAATTATGTCATATGCTCTGACCATGTAGGTCTGTATCTAAAACCCAAGCCTCAGTTAATTTGTCTACCATAGTTTGTCACTTGATTAAAAGAAAATGTATAGTCTAATTGTATTGGTTTCTTTGTTTTAGGAATTGAAATGCATCAGCGCTTATCCAACATAGAAAGGAACTGGCCTTACTACTTTGGATTTGGTCTGCCCTTGGCTTTCCTCACAGCAATGCAGTCCTCGTATATTATCAGGTAATTAGGCTAGAAAGATCTGAGAGAAAATAGTAAAAGTCATGTAGCAAGCATCTTTTGTTTGCTTGGTTCTCTGCCAAGCATTCTGTTCTTACTTGACCATCAGGAGACCTGTGCGGAGTTTTCTCTTTGGCAGACAGCCGTACCCACTTGGCGGGCGGCCCTCTAGCCCGTATTCGTTCTGTAGCTTCCTAGAGCAATGCTGAACGAGGGTGCTTGGAAGAACCTTCTGGTCTCCTCAGAAGCTGTGTCGGACTCATCAGGGCTCCATCAGGCTGATAGCTGTGCTCAGACCTACGCCAGACTCATGGCTGTCGTGAAGAGGATTCATTATTTTTTTCTTTTTTAGTGGCTGCCTCTTCTCGATCCTCTTTCCTTTATTCATCATCAGCGCCAATGAAGCAAAGACCCCTGGGAAAGCATAGTGAGTATCAGCTGGTAGTGAGGTTTTTGTGGTATAAGGGAGGGCTATAATGCTACAATTATATTAATAAGCTTTTAATCTACATTGCAAGAAAACCTTAAGAACAACACTTGCAGTATATACCCCGTACTTTTCCTGTGAATATGTGCACACGTATGTTAAAATGTAACAATTGGGGCCAGGGAGATGGCTCAGAATAAGTAAGTGCTTCCCTGGCAAGCACAAGGGCCTGAGTTCGATCCTTGGTTCCACATAAAAAAAATAAATAAAAAATAAAATATAACAATTCAAGGCCAGGGAGATGGCTCAGTGGAGTAAGTGCTTCCCTGGCAAGCGCAAGGGCCTAATGAGTTCAATCCTTGGTTCTGCCAAAAAAATAAAATTAAAAAAAAAAAAAAAAGTAACAATTCAGCTGGGAGTGTGATTCAGTGGTAAAGTGTTTGCCTGGTGTATGTACGGCAGTGTGTTCCATCCTCAGCATCTCATAATTCATCTGATATAAGCACTTAAAAACATCCGTAGTTAATTTCAGTTTTGTAAGACCTATTTGATCTTTTTTTTTTCTCCCTCCCCTCCCCCTGCACACTCCTCAGCACTGGGGGTTGAACATAGGGCCTTAGCACTAAATTACATCCCAAGCCCCATGTACTTCTACTCTGAGATAGGGTCTTGCTGAGTTGCCTGGTCTGGGCTTCAAATTGTAATCTTCCTGCCTCCCCCTCATGCTGGGATTATAGGCATATGCCACTATAGCTGGCTTTAGTGTGGTATTTCTATACATGCATATATTTTGATTATACTCATTCTCAAAGTGGTGCTTTTTCTGGGAGCCCCAATGCTTAAAGCAAGACCAATGCATTTTTTTTTCCTAGTGCTGGGGATTGAATCCAGGGCCCCATGCATGCTAGGCAAGTTCTTTTCCATTGAAACATACTCAGTCTGCAGTGTGTTCTTTAGTTGCCTGGTCAGCTCATGTGTCTGCAATCTTAAACTTCCTTGATCAAATATACTTTGATGAAATTTCAGTTGCCTTAACTTTTTCTGTATATTGTAGTTAGAAGTTTAATGTAGCCAAACAAGCTGTTGCATACCTGAAACAATACTTTTGATTAACGGGAGTACTAACAAGGTGGGTTTCTTGTCCTCTAGCCTTTTCCAGTTGCGCCTTTTCTCCTTGGTGGTCTTCTTAAGCAACAGACTCTTCCAGAAGACAGTTTACCGGCAGTCTTCGCTGAGCAGCTCCACCTCTGCAGAGAAGTTCCCCTCACCACGTCCGTCTCCTGCCAAATTGAAGGCTGCTGCAAGTCCCTGAGTCGCTGCTGTCCAGAGC